TAGATGTGGTGGGTGGCTCTGAAAAGAGCCTTTGGGTTTAGGATAGTGCAATAATCAGGAGCCTGTGGAGTCTAAGTTTAAGAGTGCTCTCCGCGAATGCGACGAGCCAGGTGGATGTCTTTCGGCATGATGGTCACCCGCTTGGCGTGGATGGCACACAGGTTGGTGTCTTCGAACAGCGCCACAAGGTAGGCCTCGCAGGCCTCCTGCAGCGCCATCAGCGCAGAGCTCTGGAAGCGCAGGTCAGTCTTGAAACCCTGGGCTATCTCACGCACCAAGTGCTGGAACGGCGCCCTGCGAATCAGCAACTCGGTGGTCTTCTGGTAGCGGCGGATCTCACGAAGCGCCACGGTGCCTGGGCGGTAGCGGTGCTGCTTCTTCTTCACTACGCCAGTAACCGGTGCAGTCTTGCAAGCCACATTCATAGCTAGCTGCTTCCGTGGAGCCTTGCCTCCCGTCGACTTCCGCGCTGTCTGCTTGGTGCGTGCCATCGTGAAGAAGCTCCTTTGTCCTCTGCTCCTCAAGTGGGCTAGGTGCCTTGAGGGCTCGGCTTTTATAGAGCCCACTGCATTCCTATTGGTCGCCCACCAGGTGTCGTGATTCATTACTGCACTCTGGTTGGCCCATGTGGTGATCCTCTTTACAGCCTGCCCCTCCGGGTGGTCTTGCCACCAGGACTGTTAATGGAGGCTGTCTCTGTAGGCGTGCAGCATGGACTGTAGAAAAACTCAAGCTGTTCTTAAATTTTTCTTTTTTTTATTTTTACAATCCTGCCTCAACGGTCAAGTCACAAAGAACCTTCTAGAACCTCTGGGTGTTTTCCTGAGTTTGTGATATTAGACCTAGAACAGTTTAAGGACTTCCGGAGCAAGGGCTGGAGGTGGTTCAGCAGTTAAACTGTCTGTTCTTCCAGAGGACCAGTGCTCAACACCCAGCACCCACATGAAGGCTTGCTTCCACCTTAATTCACCTCAGGGGCTCTCAAACTGTCTTCTGCTGGGACCAGGCATGCAAGTGGTGCAGAGTATGTAGGGGAAAAGGACGAGGCAAAGAAGCACACCCTGAGCAGAGACAAAGAAACACACTTTGGCCCTGCAACCAGAACTAAAGAAATGGTCCCTGACCCTGAAACCAGTGCCAAAATAACACACCTAGTCCTTGGCATCAGAGTCAGTGAAAGAAATGCACCCTGATCCTAAAATTGGAGTGAAAAGGCTAAAAAGGACCAGAGAAAGAAACACACTTCGGCCCTGAAACCAGAACAAAATCTCACCCTAATCCTGTGCAGAAAACTAGCCAATCCTTGAGCAGGAGCTCTAGCCAATCAGAGCTCAGCACTAAATCTGAGCAATCCCCACCCTGGAAGCCCCATATAAACCGTGTGTCTGTACAGCTTGTGGCTGTTCGTGCTACCCTGCTGTCCCCTGCTACTCTGGCAGAGGGCAGCCATTCTCCTGGATTCTTTCTTCCAATAAACCCCTTCAATGAGCTTTGGGTGAAAATCTTTTGCGGTGGAGACAGCAGAGGCCATCCTGGGCAGAGCAGAGCAGAGCTAGCAGGGCTGTAACCCTTTGGCCAGGGAAAGCTTCTCTTGGAAGAGCTCCAATCTGTGCTCTCTGCTCTCAGGGAACAGAGCAGAACTGTAACAACTTCTCCTGAGAAATCTCCTGACAAGCAAAACTGCAACACTGAGCGTAAATCCTCAGCTGGACGATGCTGTCCTGCCTGAGGGGAGCCCATACACTGGGGAAGCCTTTCCCTGAGGCAGGGCTGTAAGCAGCTAAGCTTACAACAACCTGTGGTGGTCCTTCTCTCCTGAGCTCCAGGATACCTTTCCACCTGAGCTGTGTAAGACTCAGTAGTCTGTGACTCCCGAGCTCCAGGATACCTTTCCACCTGAGCTGTGTAACACTCAGTATTCTGTGACTCCCGAGCTCCAGGATACCTTTCCACCTGAGCTGAGTAACACTCAGTATTCTGTGACTCCTGAGCTCCAGGATACCTTTCCATCTGACCTGTGTAACACTCCATATTCTGTGACTCCCGAGCTCCAGGATACCTTTCCACCTGAGCTCTGTTATACTCAGTATTCTGTGACTCCCGAGCTCCAGGATACCTTTCCACCTGAGCTGTGTAACACTCAGTATTCTGTGACTCCCGAGCTCCAGGATACCTTTCCACCTGACCTGAGTAACACTCAGTATTCTGTGACTCCTGAGCTCCAGAATACCTTTCCATCTGACCTGTGTAACACTCCATATTCTGTGACTCCCGAGCTCCAGGATACCTTTCCCTCTGAGCTGTGTAACACTCACTATTCTGTTACTGCCCAGTGCCAGAATACCTGATCGATCCAAATTCCACCTAAATGACAATACAGTATGCACATAAGCCAAATGCCTGTGATGCTAAGGTGTCTCTTCGTTGGTAGATACATGGTGTCTATCTGGTGACCTACTCTCTGCCTTGCTCTTCCTGAGTAGCTTTTTTTTTCCAATACAGGGTTTCTCTGTGGCTTTGGAGGCTGCCCTGGAACTAGCTCTTGAGGACTAGGCTGGCCTCAAACCCACAGAGAGCTACCTGCTTCTGCCTCCCAAGTGCTGGGATTAAAGGAGATTGCCATGACTGCCTGGTCCCAGTGGATTTTTAAAGCTCCACTCTGCGTGGCTGGGGGAACAGAGAGGGAGTAGAATGGTTCTCAGTCTAAGGATCCTTGGCAGATGGGAGAGAGGAGGTCCTAGTGGGATATTTCTTAGTGCTGAGCAGTGGCTTGCTCCTAAAGAAGGTGACGTGCCTCACGGCTGTTAACCCTTGCTTATGTCTAGCCTATTTTATGGTTGCAATCCTGGGAGAGATTTTTTGGATGGGTTCCCCATTCCTTATTGGGCTACCGTAAAGGATCTCACTGTTTGTTCCTACGATGGACCACTCCACTCATGGTGGTTTGTCGTGGCATATGACCCACTGCCCTAGGCTCACCTGGCTCTCACCCTCTTTGAGCAGAGCTGGGGGAGGAGGAATCCTTGAAGACTGAGGGGTTGTGCAGTTGCCTTGGCTCCTTGGCAAGGGTTGGGTGAGTTTGTAAGGGAGAAAAGTCAGCCCTTAGAAGGCACAGCAATTAAGACACTCAACTTCTTATGCTGATATTTTCAATTTAAAATATGTTTATTTACTTTTTATTATACACCTTGGCCAAACTTTCCTTTCCCTCTTCTCCTCCCAGGCCCTCCCCCAGTCCTTCCCCAGACGCCCTCCCCCCAATCCACACCTCCTCTGTTTCTGTTTAGGAAAGGGCAGGTCTCCCATGAGAATAAACAGAACATGGCATATTTGATGTTGAATTTTACACTCTTTTGTAAATAAATTGTGTCTCACATAAATAATCATTTATCATAGATGTTGAAGTTTATCAAATGCCATTTCTGTATCTATGTAGTTGATCATATGATTTTTGACTATGCGCCTATGTGCTGAATAACATTCATTGATTTTACTAAAATATATTGTACAATCTCTATGTCTCTGTAATGATGTCAGCTTGGTTGATGTAGATGGTCTTTTTGATGTGATGTTGAATTCACTTTGCATTTTGCATCTGTGTTCATCAGGGAGACTGGTTAGCCATCAGCAATTTTCTTTTTTCTTTTTGCGATGTCTTTATCTGGTTTTGGATTCAGCATACTACTTGCTTCATTAAAATGCTCTAGACTACAGGGGACATTTCATTAAAATCAGGAATAAGGTGTGTTTGCCCACTTTCTTAAATATATATGTTTTTTAAAAATCCTCAAACCGTGTGCCGAGTATTGGTGGCGCAGACCTTTAATCCCAGCACTCAGGAGGCAGAGGCAGGCAGAACTCTGTGAGTTCCAGGCCAGCCTAGTCTACAGAGCGAGGTCCAGGACAGCCTCCAAAACAATACGGAGAAACCCTGTCTCCATAAACAAACAACAACAACAACAACAACAAAAAACAAAAAATAAAAAGAAATAAAGAAAGGAAGGAAGGAAGAAAGAAAGAGGCAGTGTTGAAATTCTGTGCTGTTCTGGACACTACCCAGCAGACTTCCCCCGCAGCCACTCAGGCCCCGGGGTTTGCAGTCAAGACACACTGAGGTAAGGGGAGGCAGTGGAGACAGTGGGTCATTTTCCCTCAGGGTCAAGCATGGGACCCTGAGGACAGCATCTGCAGGTCTAAGGCTGGACTGTGCCTTTAGGGTCCTTGTCATATACAGCTGCCAACAGTACTGGTATTTACTCCCTTGGGTCCAAAGAGAATTCCATAGCAAGGCTTGTGGCAGCAGGGCTGGCCTTCATTCTCAGCATAGCCGCCAGGGGTCAGTGTCTTGGAGCTGCACTTCCAGAGCAGGATGAGCTGGTGGCAGCAGGTCACATTCTCAGCAAAGCACACCCTCTTGTTGCATCGCAGACAAATATTGTGTACCCCAGTGAATGTCGTGAAACTAGAGGCTTTGCTGGGACAGTTCGGGGTCCGCTGGTCTCCCGTTCTTTGGTTCGCACCACAGGGACCTCAATGGGGCCAATGTTACCTGAGGCCTGAGGGCTCTCAGTCAGAGGCTTCTCGTAGATGGAGGAACCATGGCGCCCTATATTCAAGCCTTTGGGTCCAAACAATGTGGCATACACAGCAGGGTTTGTGGTAGAAAGGTTTCCCATCATGCTCAGCATGGCCCCGGGAGGTCAGCGTCTTGTTGCAGCGCTCACACATGAGACAGAACTTGTGCCAGTCCTTGCCCAGGGAGCTCACCTTCTCAGAAAAGTACACGGTCTTGTCACAGCTGGGACACTTGGAGGTCATGGTTGGCGCGCTCGGCCGGGCTGCGCCCTCCACCCGCGCTGGTCTCTGCTTCAATATATATCTTGAATACACCTATTTCAATATAGTGTCTGAAGTCTTAGCTAAAGTAATAAGAGAAAGAAATAAGAGGGATACAGACAGGAAGAGTCAAATTATCCACATGTGCGATGATATGATTCCCTACCTAATACATTATATAAGAAAACTTGTAGATTTCACAAGTACTTGCAGGAAAATGGCAGGATACAAAATTATCACACAAAAATCACTAGATGTACAAATAACAAACGTGTTGAGAATTAAATCAAGAAAACAACACCATTTTCAGTTGCCTTAAAATATTTTAGCGGCTAAAAACATGGTTCAGAGAGTAAGAGCACGTGATAAATAAGAAGAGAACCTAAGGTTGAAATTTCAGAACCTATATTTTAAAAAAAGGCATGCCTGGCTATGTGTTCATAAACTTAGCATTTTTAGGGACAGAGACAAGAGGATACTGAGGCTTGGTGGTCACCAGCCTAGCTGCAGGCTCAATTTGCAACCCAGTCTCAAAGGAATGGATGGACAGTGATGGAAGCACAAAAGATTCTACATAGTCAAAGAAATCTGAACATAAAAAGAATACTGTAGATATCATGAAAACTGATTCCAGGTTATACATACAGCGGCAGGAACAAAGTAGCATGCTAATGGCACAAAAAGAGACACGCAGATAAATGGAATAGAAGAGAGGACCATGATATAAACCCATGTGAATACAGCCAACTGATTCTAAAGATGTACAAAAGTGCATTGAAGAAAGGTCAGGGCTCTCATCAAATGATGCTGGGAGATCTGGCTATCCATATAAAGAAGAATGAAGCTAGATCCCTGTCTGTTAGCCTATACAAAAGTCAACTCCTAGTGCATCAGTGTCAATGATATAATACTTTAAACTCTGAAACTGTCATGAGAAAAAGGAGAGAAAACACTTCAAGCACAAGCAAGGACTCCTGAGAAGGACTCTACTTGCTCAGAAAATAAGCATAACAGTCAACAAATGGCACTCATGAAGTGAAGAAAGTTCCAAGCTGCGAAGGAAACAACTAAGACAAGAGGAAGCCTGAAGAATGGGAGGAAGTCTTTGCCAGCTGCATAGCAGACAGAAGCTTAATACCGAGGATGCACAAAGAGTGAAAAAAAAACCTACAGAAATCAAACACCTCAATCAAAGCAATAAACAGATAGTTCTTTCAAAGGATACAGCAAAATGTAAAATAAATGCGTGAAAAATTGTTCAACCTCGGTATCTGTGATGGTTAATATTGATTGTCAATTTGGCAGGATCTAAAATCACCACAGAAAGGAGCCCCTAGACGAGTCTGTGAAGGATTATCTAGATTAGGTTAATTAAAAGCTAACCCCAGGGATTCATCATTCTGTGGCCAGAGTCCTGGTTGCATCAAAAGGAGAAAGGTAGAGGAACATCAGCGTTCTGTCTCTGTGTCCTAACTGGGAATCGGTGTGACTAGCTGCCTCACACTCCTGCTGTCGTGTCTTCCTCAACCTAAATCTTCAGTTTGTGAGCCAGAATAAATTCTTCCTCCCTGAAATTCTGCTTCAGATACTTTGTCACAGCAACAAGAAAAGAAATGGATGCATTGGTCATTCAGGAAATTCAAATTATTTTGAGAGTCCATCTAATTGTAATCATAACGGCAGTCTTTAAGAAAACAGATACAGCCCAATGTAGTGGCACGTGCCTTTAATACTATCACTCAGGGATGCAGAGACAGGCAGATCTCTATGAGTCTGAGGCCAGCCTGGTCTACAGAGTGAGTTCCAGGACAGACAAGGCTACACAGAGAAGCCCCGTCTCGAAAAAGCAAAAACACTTGCATGTGAGGTTCTAGTAGTGCTTGCGTTCCTGCTTCATCTTCACACTTTCCTGCTTGTCCTGTAATGGGAACTGAGAGTATTTCTGAAGACCAAAAAATTAAAAAAAAACAAAAAAAAACCACCATATCCATCACTTATGCAATCTGCTTGCTTGATCTTTTTTCAAGACAGGATTTCTGTGTGTGTAGTTCTGGCTGGCCTCAAACTCATAGAAATCCACCTGCCTCTGCCTCCCAAGTGCTGGGATTAAGGGTGTGTGCCACTGCCACCCATCTGCCATCTGCTTTCTTAAATAGTGTTCTCCGGAAGAGTGGATTGAGGGTAGCAGATTTAGTAGAAATCAAATTTTGATCCTTACTCATCTCTTTTGTTCCAGAGAGAAGCTCTGTTGATTAGCTAGTGTGGGCCTTTTAATTCTTTGTTGCATTCAACCAACCAACCAATCAATCAATCAATCAATCAATCAATCAATCACTTCTATTCTACCAAGTAGGTTCTGGGGATCAAACTCAGGTCATCAGGCTTGGTAGCAGTCACCTTTACTGTCTGAACCATGTCACCAGTCCACGTGCATTTTTTAAGGAGAAAATTGGGTTTCCATTTTCAGCTGAACTTATGAGCTGTGGATATTGCTCAGATACGTCTGTCTGTACTTTTTTAAGGAAAGCAAATATATTTTTTGAAAATAATTTTTCTCTCCCTGGGGATTTACTCAGGCTAATGAAGAGAGTTTTCCTTTAAGGTAGGACCAATATATCTCAATATTTAGCCATATCCTCTGTTATATCAACTGGCAATATATGTTTATCATTTGTTTACCAGAAAAGCAAACAATCTGGGGTATATGAAAAATTCTTAGTAGGCTGTAACAGATTAATAAGAGGTCTCCAAATCAGAGACTTCCTTTGCTTTTTTGAATATCTGCCTTCTCTGAAAGGCACATGATTATTGTGAAATGGTACCAAACTGGTGTATTTTGTGGGTGGGTGGGTTTCTAGACAGGGTTTCTGTCTGGCTTTGGAGGCTGTCCTGGAACTCGTTGTGTAGTCCAGGCTGGTCTGAACTCACAGAGATCCTCTTGCCTCTGCCTCCCTAGTGCTGGGATTAAAGGCATGTGCCACCACTGCCCAGCAAAATTACTGTATTTTTTTAGCCTACCTGCCACATGCATCTTCTATGCCAGTCCCTGAAACTGGCTCCCTAAACATTGTCTGTGTAATTCCTATTATTTGCACACTGCTGTTTTGTGTTTGGGATGTCTTTCTTCCGTTCACTTACTACAAGCCCATATACTCATTAACATCACGTAACATACTAAACTTCCCTATTAATTAATTACTGAGTCAGTAGAAATGTTCGTATAAGGTCCCAAAGAGCAAAATACCTGGCCTGTTTATTCTTGAAGACATCCCATGCATTCATTGTGATTTTTTTAAGGTTTCAAAGGTTTTATTCTGAGGCCAGCTTTTAAAAGCAAAAAATTTGCATATATTTTCAATTATCGATCAGATTTACATACAAGGTTACAACCACTTTTTTAGATGTGGTGGGTGGCTCTGAAAAGAGCCTTTGGGTTTAGGATAGTGCAATAATCAGGAGCCTGTGGAGTCTAAGTTTAAGAGTGCTCTCCGCGAATGCGACGAGCCAGGTGGATGTCTTTCGGCATGATGGTCACCCGCTTGGCGTGGATGGCACACAGGTTGGTGTCTTCGAACAGCGCCACAAGGTAGGCCTCGCAGGCCTCCTGCAGCGCCATCAGCGCAGAGCTCTGGAAGCGCAGGTCAGTCTTGAAACCCTGGGCTATCTCACGCACCAAGTGCTGGAACGGCGCCCTGCGAATCAGCAACTCGGTGGTCTTCTGGTAGCGGCGGATCTCACGAAGCGCCACGGTGCCTGGGCGGTAGCGGTGCTGCTTCTTCTTCACTACGCCAGTAACCGGTGCAGTCTTGCAAGCCACATTCATAGCTAGCTGCTTCCGTGGAGCCTTGCCTCCTGTCGACTTCCGCGCTGTCTGCTTGGTGCGTGCCATCGTGAAGAAGCTCCTTTGTCCTCTGCTCCTCAAGTGGGCTAGGTGCCTTGAGGGCTCGGCTTTTATAGAGCCCACTGCATTCCTATTGGTCGCCCACCAGGTGTCGTGATTCATTACTGCACTCTGGTTGGCCCATGTGGTGATCCTCTTTACAGCCTGCCCCTCCGGGTGGTCTTGCCACCAGGACTGTTAATGGAGGCTGTCTCTGTAGGCGTGCAGCATGGACTGTAGAAAAACTCAAGCTGTTCTTAAATTTTTCTTTTTTTTTATTTTTACAATCCTGCCTCAACGGTCAAGTCACAAAGAGCCTTCTAGAACCTCTGGGTGTTTTCCTGAGTTTGTGATATTAGACCTAGAACAGTTTAAGGACTTCCGGAGCAAGGGCTGGAGGTGGTTCATCAGTTAAACTGTCTGTTCTTCCAGAGGACCAGTGCTCAACACCCAGCACCCACATGAAGGCTTGCTTCCACCTTAATTCACATCAGGGGCTCTCAAACTGTCTTCTGCTGGGACCAGGCATGCAAGTGGTCCACAGTATGTATAGGAAAAGGACCAGTCAAAGAAACACACCCTGAGCAGAGCCAAAGAAACACACTTTGGCCCTGCAACCAGAACCAAGGAAATGTTCCCTGACCCTGAAACCAGTGCCAAAATAACACACCTAGTCCTTGGCATCAGAGTCAGTGAAAGAAATGCACCCTGATCCTAAAATTGGAGTGAAAAGGCTAAAAAGGACCAGAGAAAGAAACACACTTTGGCTCTGAAACCAGAGGCAAAATCTCACCCTAATCCTGTGCAGAAAACTAGCCAATCCTTGAGCAGGAGCTCTAGCCAATCAGAGCTCAGCACTAAATCTGACCAATCCCCACCCTGGAAGCCCCATATAAACCGTGTGTCTGTTCAGCTTGTGGCTGTTCGTGCTACCCTGCTGTCCCCTGCTACTCTGGCAGAGGGCAGCCATTCCTCCGGATTCTTCCTTCCAATAAACCCCTTCAATGAGCTTTGGGTGAAAATCTTTTGTGGTGGCGACAGAGCAGAGGAGACCCTGGGCAGAGCAGAGCAGAGCTAGCAGGGCTGTAACCCTTTTGCCAGGGAAAGTTTCTCTTGGCAGAGCTCCAATCTGTGCTGTCCGCTCCCCAGGAGCAGAGCTGAACTGTAATAATTTCTCCCGAGAAACCTCCTGCCGAGCAAAACTGCAACAATGAGCGAACATCCTCAGCTGGAAGATGCTGTTCGGCCTGAGTGGAGCCCATACATTGGGAAAGCCTTTCCCTGAGGCAGGGCTGTAAGCTGCTATGCTTACTGCAACCTGTGGTGGTCCTTGGCTCCCGAGCTCCAGGATACCTTTCCACCTGAGCTGTGTAACACTAAATATTCTGTGACTCCCTAGTGCCAGAATACCTGACCCATCCAAATTCCACCTAAATGCCAACACAGTATACACGTAAGCCAAACGCCTGTGATGCTCGGGTCTCTGGTCCTTGGCAGCTGCATGATGTCTATCTGGTGACCGACGTTCTGTCTTCTTGTTCCCAAGTAGCTTTTTTGTTTGCTTTTTTCGATATAGGGTTTCTCTGTGGCTTTGGAGGCTACCCTAGAACTAGCTCTTGTATACCAGGCTGGCCTCAAACCCACAGAGAACTGCCTGCCTCTGACTCCCAAGTGCTGGGATTAAAGGAGATTGCCACCACTGCCTGGTTCCCAGTGGATTTTGTAAGCTCCACTCTGCGTGGCTGGATGAACAGAGAGGGAATAGAATAGCCTCAGTCTACGGATCCTTGGCAGATGGGAGAGAGGAGGTCCTAGTGGGATATTTCTTAGTGCTGAGCAGTGGCTTGCTCCTCTATAGCAAAGTGACATGCCTCAAGGCTGTTAACCCTTGCTTATGTCTAGTGTATTTGGTGGTTGTCATCCTGGGAGAGACTTTTTGGATGGGTTCCTCATTCCTTATTTGGCTATCGTAAAGGATCTCATTGTTTGTTGCTAGGATGGACCACTCCCTACATGGTGGTTTATGGTGGCATCTGTCCCACTGCCCCAGGCTCACCTGGCTCTCACCCTCTTTGAGCAGAGCTGGGGGAGGAGGAATCTTTGAAGACTGAGGAGTTGTATAGTTGCCTTGGCTCCTTGGCAAGGGTTGGGTGAGGTTGTAAGGGAGAAAAGTCAGCCCTTAGAAGGCACAGCACTTCAGACACTCAACTTCTTATGTTGATATTTTCATTTTAAAATAAGTTTATTTATACAACCTGGCCAAGCTTTCCTTTCCCTCTTCTACTCCCAGGCCCTTCCCCAGCCCTTCCCCAGTCCCAGTCTCCCCCATCCACTCCTCCCCTGTTTCTGTTTAGCAAAGGGCAGGTCTCCTATGAGAATAAACAAAACATGGCATATTTGATGGTGAATTTTACCCTCTTTTGTAAATAAATTGTGTCTCACATAAATAATCATTTATCATAGATATTGAATTTTATCAAATGCCTTTTCTGCATCCATGTCAATGATCATATGATTTCTGACTATGCGCCTATGTGCTGAATAACATTCATTGATTTTACTAAAATATATTGAACAATCTCTATGTCTCTGTAATGATGCTAGCTTGGTTGACGTACATGGTCTTTTTGATGTGATGTTGAATTCACTTTGCATTTTGCATCTGTGTTTATCAAGGAGACTGGTTAGCCATCAGCAATTTTCTTTTTTCTTTTTGCGATGACTTTATCTGTTTTGGAATCAGGATAGTACTAGCTTCATAAAAATGCTCTAGACTACAGGGGACATTTCATTAAAATCAGGATAGAGATGTGTATACCCACTTTCTTCAATATATATCTTTTTTAAAAATCCTGAAACCTCGCACTGGGCGTTGGTGACGCCGACCTTCAATCCCAGCACTCGGGAGGCAGAGGCAGGCAGAACTCTGTGAGTTTGAGGCCAGCCTGGTCTACAGAGCGAGTTCTAGGACAGCCTCCAAAAACTACAGAGAAACCCTGTCTCAAAAAACAAAAAAGAAAGAAAGAAAGAAAGAAAGAAAGAAAGAAAGAAAGAAAGAAGTAGTGTTGAAGTTCTGTGCTGTTCTGGACATTACCCAGCAGACTTCCTACTAAGCCACTCAGGCCCCGGGGTTTGCAGTCAAGACACACTGAGGTAAGGGAAATAGTCCCTGGAAGTTTAAATTACAGTATCACGTAAAAAAGTGACTTGAAGAACAGGGGACTACAACCATGGAAGGCTTTTTAAAATGGATTGAGCGAGTGAGCCCATGGTTCATTACTGGGGGAGGCTTAAATGTCCCAGATTGGGAGGAGGTTTGCTATGATCTTCAGAGAGTCGGGTGTTGGTGGCATATGCCTTTAATCCCAACACTCGAGAGACAGAGGTAGGTAGGATCGAGGCCATCCTGGTTTGAGTTCCAGGGCAGCCTCCAAAAGGATAGAGAGAAACCCAGTCTCAAAAAATAAAGGTAAAATAAGAAATAAAATAAAAAATCTCCAGTTTTTCACCTGATCCACCGAGGTCAGGAAAGTAAAGGGGAACTGAGAGATCTAAAAGGCTGGCCTGTAAGGCTATGCAAAAGTGTTAAAAAGGGGTACCAAGCTAGGTGTACCAGACTAAATCTCCAGGCCTTCGCCTGACAAAGGTCAGGAAAGTAAGGGGACCCTGAGAGATCGCCCTCAGAGCAACCATTGCTGAGGTCAAATGGAGACATCCATGCACTAGACAGTGGAGAAGACCCTAATTTGGTGTCGAGGGCATGTTTGTGTTTTCTTGCAGGAAAAGAATAAAGCTTTGGCAGCTGTCAGACCATTTAGTGAGATGCATGGAGCAGAGAAAAACTGGACCTGAGACCATAGGAGCTTACCTAAGCCAGTTTGAGTGAGATCTCCTAAATCAGTGTTCCTGACCCTTGATGTCATCCAATCTACAGCCCGAGAAAGAAGGAAAACAGTCGGTTCTAGATTTCCAGTTTCTCAACAGGCCTGCTGCATCAACCTCCCGGACCTGTGAGTTTTCATCCCGAAGCCAACAGAGAACTGGAAAGACTAACTGTCTGCCCTTGACACACCTTGAAACAACAGAATTCATTTTGCCAGTTTTTCCCTTTGGGGGAAAAAAGGACCCATTTAAAACATTTGCACATTGGTATGGACTGTGATGAGTGGCAAAAGCCTCTTTTCAGTATTTGAACGGGACATGGTCACTTGAAATATCAGACTTGGTGGTTCCTGTTTCTGGAATCACACCTATGCCAGTGTATTTTTCTGGAGAAATGGAACTTGTCCTAATGTGACAAAAAGAGACCTTTGTCTCAAGTCGCATAGTCAGCTGAGGCTGGTGACTTTAAATCAACAAACTGCATCACCACAGGAACAAATTGGTGCTCTGTGGATAGTGCAACAAGCCTATTGTTCATATTTTTTATAATGCTACATGTGTAACATCAATGATTGTGCACTTTCTAAATGCTTTCCTGAGCAGATATTAGAGCGATTGTAAACTTTATCACTGTTTTCACCATCAAATTGTAAATGTAAATCACATTCGGGTTACCCTTGTAACAGAGGAAGGCTGGTAGAATGTTATGGCCCTGATCTGGTGATGGGTACGGTGATGGAGAGGCGCTATGTCAATGGGGGTCCTGGAAATGGTGGCAGTGGCAGTACTCATTCTGGCCTTATGCCGAGCTCAAACGTGCCTTGTTCCAGAGGCAAGAGATCCATAACCAAGTATTGCTTAGCTTAGTCCATGGCAATCCCGATAGCTATGAAGGTGGGTTACAGATGATTTAAGGATGAAGCTCTTCTGTTGACGGTCAACCTGTGGGGAAGACATCTCCCACCTAAGACAGGGGTTCAAGGTCCCCCAAAGACAGGCAAGAGAGGGTGACCCTACTTGACCTAAGCCAGGAGTGCCTCATTAAAAAATTAAAAAGGGGGAATTGTGGGGATACCAGACCTTGAGCAGAGACCCACTTCCCCATTGGCCTGGGAGTAGGCAGCTGTAAGACAATGTTTACTGAAAACATGTTTACTAAAAGCAATACAATGCCAAGGGCAATAAGTTCCTGAAAAGGGCTGGCCCACGGCAACCGCCCTGTGTTCGACCTTTTCCAAAGACTATTCACCTCTTCAAACCCACCCACCTCCACCTCTGGTGTCAGGGTATATAATAACCAGCCAGAGTAGGAATAAAGGAGAGCCTTCTTGACGAGCCTTCCGATCTCTGTGTTGTCAATCCCCGACACCCTCTGCACATTCTCAGACACAGGCAGCTCAGCGGACACAGCAGCAGGCAGTGGAGACAGTGGGCCATTTTCCCTCAGAGTCAAGCATGGGACCTTGAGGACAGCATCTGCAGGTCTAAGGTTGGACTATGCCTTTAGGGTCCTTGTCATAGCTACAGTTGCCCACAGTACTGGTATTTACTCCCTTGGGTCCAAAGAGAATTCCATAGCAAGGCTTGTGGCAGTAGGGCTGGCCTTCATTCTCAGCATAGCCGCCAGGGGTCAGTGTCTTGGAGCAGCACTCCCAGAGCAGTAAGAGCTGGTGGCAGCGGGTCACCTTCTCAGCAAAGCACACCCTCTTGTTGCATCGCAGACAAATATTGTGTACCCCAGTGAATGTGGTGACACTAGAGTCTTTGGTGGGACCGTTGGGGGTCTGCTGGTCTTCTGTTCGCACCACAGGGACCTCAATGGGGCCAATGTTACCTGAGGCCTGAGGCTCTCAGTCAGAGGCTTCTCTTAGACATAGTAACCAGAGTGCCCTATATTCACGCCTTTGGGTCCAAACAATGTGGCATACACAGCAGGGTTTGTGGTAGAAAGGTTTCCCATCATGCTCAGCATGACCCGGGAGGTCAGCGTCTTGTTGCAGCGCTCACACATGAGACAGAACTTGTGCCAGTCCTTGCCCAGGGAGCTGACCTTCTCAGAAAAGTACAAGGTCTTGTCACAGCTGGGACACTTGGAGGCCATGGTTGGCGCGCTCGGTCGGCCCGTGCCCTCCACCCGCGCTGGTCTCTCCTTCAGTATATATCTTGATTACACCTATTTCAATACAGTATCTCAAGTCTTAGCTAAAGTAATAAGAGAAAGGAATAAGAGGGATACAGACAGGAAGAGTCAAATTATTCACATGTGCGATGATATGATTCTATACATAATAGATTATATAAGAAAACTTGTAGATTTCACAAGTACTTGCAGGAAAATGGCAGGATACAAAATTATCACACAAAAATCATTAGATGTACAAATAACAAACGTGTTGAGAATTAAATCAAGAAAACAACCCCATTTTCATTTGTCTTAAAATATATTTTAGTGGCTAAACAAATGGTTCAGTGAGTAGGAGCACTTGATAAATAAGAAAAGGACCTAAGGTAGAATCCTCAGACCCTACACTTAAAAAGAAAAGGCATGCCTGGCTATGTGTTCATAAACTTAGCATTGTTAGGGACAGAGACAAGGGGATACTGAGGCTTGGTGGTCTCCAGCCTAGCTGCAGGCTCAATTTGCAACCCAGTCTCAAAGGAATGGATGGACAGTGATGGAAGCATAAAAGATTCTACATAGTCAAAGAAATCTGAACATAAAAAAGAAAGCTGTAGGTGTCATGAAAACTGATTTCAAGTTATACATACAGCGGCAGGAACAAAGTAGCATGCTAATGGCACAAAAAGAGACACGCAGATAAATGGAATAGAAGAGAGGACCATGATATAAACCCATGTGAATACAGCCAACTGATTCTAAAGATGTACAAAAGTGCATTGAAGAAAGGTCAGTTTCCTCATCAAATGATGCTGGGAGATCTGGCTATCTATATAAAGAAGAATGAACTAGATCCCTGTCTGTTAGCCTATATAAAAGTCAACTCCTCCTGGATCAGTGTCAATGATATAATACTTTAAACTCTGAAACTGTCGTGAGAAAAAGGAGAGAAAACACTTCAAGCACAAGCAAGGATTCCTGAGCAAGACTCTACTTGATCAGAAAATAAGCCTAAGAGTCGACAAATGGGATTCATGAAATGAAGAAAGTTCCAAGCTGGGAAGGAAACAACTAAGACAAGGGGAAGCCGGAAGAATGGGAGGAAGTCTTTGCCAGCTGCATAGCAGACAGAAGCTTAATACCGAGGATGCACAAAGAGTGAAAAAAAAAAAACCCTACAGAAATCAAACACCTCAATCAAAGCAATAAACAGATAGTTCTTTCAAAGGATACAGCAAAATGTAAAATAAATGCGTGAAAAATTGTTCAACCTCAGTATCTGTGATGGTTAATATTGATTGTCAATATGGCAGGATCTAAAATCACCACAGAAAGGAGCCCCTGGACGAGTCTGTGAAGGATTATCTAGATTAGGTTAATTAAAACCTAACCCCAGGGAGGCATCATTCTGTGGCCAGAGTCCTGGTTGCATCAAAAGGAGAAAGGTAGAGGAACATCTGCATTCTGTCTCTGTGTCCTAACTGGGAATCGGTGTGACTAGCTGCCTCACACTCCTGCTGTCGTGTCTTCCTCAACCTAAATCTTCAATTTGTGAGCCAGAATAAATTCTTCCTCCCTGAAATTCTGCTTCAGATACTTTGTCACAGCAACAAGAAAAGAAATGGATGCATTGGTCATTCAGGAAATTCAAATTATTTTGAGAGTCCATCTAATTGTAATCATAATGGCAGTCTTTAAAAAAAGAGATACAGCCCAATGTAGTGGCACGTGCCTTTAATACTATCTATCACTCAGGGATGCAGAGACAGGCAGGTCTCTATGAGTCTGAGGCCAGCCTGGTCTACAGAGTGAGTTCCAGGACAGAAAAGGCTACACAGAGAAACCCCGTCTCGAAAAAGCAAAAATGAAAAACACTTGCATGTGGGGTTGTAGTAGTGCTCGCGTTCCTGCTTCATCTTCACACTTTCCTGCTTGTCCTGTAATGGGAACTGAGAGTACTTCTGAAGACCAATCCAAATAAATACATAAATAAATAAATAAACCTGTATAATATATCGATCACTTATGCAATCTGCTTGCTTGATTTTTTTTTCCGAGACAGGATTCCTGTATGTGTAGCTCTGCTGGGCCTCAAACTCATAGAAATCCACCTGCCTCTGCCTCCCAAGTGCTGGGATTAAAGGTGTGTGCCACTGCCACCCATCTGCCCTCTGCTTTCTTAAATAGTGTTCTCCGGATGAGTGGATTGAGGGTAGCAGTTTCAGTAGAAATCAAATTTTATTTCCTTACTCATCTCCTTTGTTCCGGAGAGAAGCTCTATTGATTAGCAAGTGTGGGTCTTTTAATTCTTTGGCGCATTCAATCAGGCAATCAATCACTCAATCAATCAATCAATCAATCACTTAGCTCTATTCTACAATGTGGGTTCTGGGGATCAAACTCAGGTCATCACGCTTGGTAGCAGTCACCTTTACTGTGTGAACCATGTCACCAGTCCATGTGAATGTTTTTTAAAGGAGAAATTTGTGTTTCCATTTACAGCTGACCTTTTCAGCTGTGGATATTGCTCAGATACGTCTGTCTGTACTTATTTAAGGCAAGCATATACATTTTTGAAGGATAATTGTTCTCTCCTTGGGCATTTAATCAGGTTAATGAAGAGAGTTTTTCTTTAAGGTAGGACAAATATGTCTCAATACTTAGCCATATCTTCTGTAAAGTCAATTGGCTATATATGTTTATCATTTGTTGACCAGAAAAGAAAACAATCTGGAGTGTATGTAAAATTCTTAGTAGGCTGTAACAGATTAATAAGAGATCTCCAAGTGAGACCTTTCCTTTGCCTTTTTGAATCTCTGCTTCTCTGAAAGGCACATGATTATTGTGAAATGTTGGCAAATTGCTGTACTTTGTGGGTGGGTTTCGAGACAGGGTTTCTATGTGGCTTTGGAGGCTGTCCTGGAACTCACTCTGTAGACCAGGCTGGTCCAAACTCACAGATATCTACCCGCCTCTCCTCCTTAGTGCTGGCATTTGCCACCACCGCCCAGCAAAATTACTGTGTTTTTAAGCCTACCTGCCACATGCATCTTCTATGCCAGTCCCTGAAACTGGCTCCCTAAACATTGTCTGTGTAATTCCTATTATTTGCACACTGCTGTTTTGTGTTTGGGATGTCTTTCTTCCGTTCACTTACTACAAGCCCATATACTCATTAACATCACGTAACATACTAAACTTCCCTATTAATTAATTACTGAGTCAGTAGAAATGTTCGTATAAGGTCCCAAAGAGCAAAATACCTGGCCTGTTTATTCTTGAAGACATCCCATGCATTCATTGTGATTTTTTTAAGGTTTCAAAGATTTTATTCTGAGGCCAGCTTTTAAAAGCAAAAAATTTGCATATATTTTCAATTATCGATCAAATTTACATACAAGGTTACAACCACTTTTTTAGATGTGGTGGGTGGCTCTGAAAAGAGCCTTTGGGTTTAGGATAGTGCAATAATCAGGAGCCTGTGGAGTCTAAGTTTAAGAGTGCTCTCCGCGAATGCGACGAGCCAGGTGGATGTCTTTTGGCATGATGGTCACCCGCTTGGCGTGGATGGCACACAGGTTGGTGTCTTCGAACAGCGCCACGAGGTAGGCCTCGCAGGCCTCCTGCAGCGCCATCAGCGCAGAGCTCTGGAAGCGCAGGTCAGTCTTGAAACCCTGGGCTATCTCACGCACCAAGTGCTGGAACGGCGCCCTGCGAATCAGCAACTCGGTGGTCTTCTGGTAGCGGCGGATCTCACGAAGCGCCACGGTGCCTGGGCGGTAGCGGTGCTGCTTCTTCTTCACTACGCCAGTAACCGGTGCAGTCTTGCAAGCCACATTCATAGCTAGCTGCTTCCGTGGAGCCTTGCCTCCCGTCGACTTCCGCGCTGTCTGCTTGGTGCGTGCCATCGTGAAGAAGCTCCTTTGTCCTCTGCTCCTCAAGTGGGCTAGGTGCCTTGAGGGCTCGGCTTTTATAGAGCCCACTGCATTCCTATTGGTCGCCCACCAGGTGTCGTGATTCATTACTGCACTCTGGTTGGCCCATGTGGTGATCCTCTTTACAGCCTGCCCCTTATATACTCTCCGGGTGATCTTGCCACCAGGACTGTTAATGGAGGCTGTCTCTGTAGGCGTGCTGCACGGATTGTAGAAAAACTCAAGCTGTTCTTAAATTTTTCTTTCTTTCTTTCTTTCTTTCTTTCTTTCTTTCTTTCTTTCTTTCTTTCTTTCTTTCTTTCTTTCTTTCTTTCGAATCCTGCCTCAACGGTCAAGTAACAAAGATCCTTCTATAACCTCTGGGTGTTTTTCTGAGTTTGTGATATTAGAATTGGAACAGATAAGGACTTCTGGAGCAAGGGCTAGAGGTGGTTCAGCAGTTAGTTACTGCCTGTTCTTCCAGAGGACCAGGGCTCAACACCCAGCACCCACATGAAGTCTTGCTTCTACCTTAATTCACCTCAGGGGCTCAGAAACCATCTTCTGCTGGTACCAGGCATGCAAGTCGTGCACAGTATGTGGGGGAAAAGAACGAGTCAAAGAAGCACACCCTGAGCAGAGACAAAGAAACACACTTTGGCCCTGCAACCACAAAGAAATGCTCCATGAACCGGAAACCTGTGTCAAAAGAACACACCTTGTCCCTGGCTTCAGAGTTAGTGTAAGAAAAGCCCCGAGGCCCTAAAATTGGAGTGAAAAGGCTAAAAAGGACCAGAGAATGAAGCACACTTTGCCTCTGACCAGAGGCAAATCTAACCTAATCCTTTGCAGAAAACTAGCCAATCCTTGAGCAGGAGCTCTAGCCAATCGGAGCTCAGCACTAAATCTGACCAATCCTCACCCTGGAAGCCCTTTATAAACCCTGTGTCTGTTCAGCTTGTGGATGTTCTTGCTACCCGGCTGTCCTCTGCTACTCAGGCAAAGGGCAGCCATTCTCCTGGATTCTTTCTCCCAAAAAACCCCTTCAATAAGCTTTGGGTGAAAATTTTTGCAGTGGCGACAGAGCAGACGAGACCCTTGGCAGAGTAGAGCAGAGCCATCAGGGCTGTAACCCTCTTGCTAGGGAATGTTTCTCTTGGCAGAGCTCCAATCTGTCCTCTCAACTCTCGGGAGCAGAGGTGAAGTGTAACAACTTCTCCCGAGAAACCTCGGCCTAGCAAAACTGCAACAGTGAGCGAACAACCCCAGCTGGAAGATGCTGTCCTGCCTGAGTGGAGCTGATATGCTGGGGAAGCCTTTCCCTGAGGCAGGGTTGTAAGCAGCTAAACTTACCATGACTTGTGGTAGTCCTTGGCTTTGAGCACCAGGATACGTTTCCACCTGAGCTGTGTAACACTCAGTATTCTGTGACTCCTGAGCTCCAGGATACCTTTCCACATGAGCTGTGTAACACTCAGTATTCTGTGGCTCTTGAGCACAAGGATATCTTTCCACCTGAGCTGTGCAACACGCAGTATTGTGTGACTCCTGAGCTCCAGGATACCTTTCCACCTGAGCTGTGCATCATGCAGTATTGTGTGACTCCTGAATTCCAGGATACCTTTCCACCATATCTGTTTAACACTCAGTATTCTGTGACTCCCCAGTGCCAGGATACCTGTTCCTTTCAAATTCCACCTAAATGCCAACACAGTATACAAGTAAGCCAAATGCCTGTGATGATCAGGTCTCTGGTCCTTGGCAGATACAAGGTGTCTATCTGGTGAACTAGGATCTGTCTTCCTGTTCCCAAGTAGCTTTTTTGTTTGTTTTTATTCAATACAGGATTTCTCTGTGGCTTTGGAGGCTGTCCTAGAACTAGCACTTGTGCAACAGGCTGGCCTCAGTCCCACAGAGAGCTGCCTGCCTCTGCCTTCCAAGTGCTGGGATTAAAGGAGATTGCCACCACTGCCTGGTTCCCAGTGGATTTTGTAAGGTCCACTCTGCGTGGCTTGGGGAACAGAGAGGGAGTAGAATGGCCTCAGTCTATGGATCCTTGCCAGATGGGAGAGAAGGAGGTCCTAGTGGGATATTTTTTAGTTATGAGCAGTCGCTTGCTCCTCCAATGGAAGGTAACCTGCCTCATAACCCTTGCTTATGACTAGTCTATTTTGTTGTACTCATCCTGGGAGAGATTTTTTTATGGGTTCCCCATTCCTTATTTGGCTACTGTAAAGGATCTCACTGTTTGTTCCTAGGATAGACCACTCCCCACATGGTGGCTTTTGGTGGCATCTGGCCCACTGCCCTAGGCTCATCTGGCTCTCACCTGCTTTGAGCAGAGCTGGGGAAGGAGGAATCTTTGAAGACTGAGGGGTTGTGCAGTTGCCTTGGCTCCTTGGCAAGGGTTGGGTGAGGTTGTAAGGGGAAAAGTCAGCCCTTAGAAGGCACAGCAATTAAGACAATCAACTTCTTATGTTGATGTGTTCATTTTAAAATAAGTTTATTTACTTTTTGTCATACACCCTGGACAAGCTTTCCTTTCCCTCTTCTCCTCCCAGACCCTCCCCCCAGCGACTCCCCAGTGCCCCTCCCCCCAATCCACTCCTCCTCTGTTTCTGTTTAGGAAAGGGCAGGTCTCCCATGAGAATAAACAAAACATGGCATATTTGATGCTGAATTTTACCCTCTTTTTTAAATAAATTGTGTCCCACATAAATAATCATTTATCATAGGTATTGAATTTTATTTAATACCTTTTCTGCATCTTTGTAATTGATCATATGATTTCTGACTATGCGCCTATGTGCTGAATAACATTCATTGATTTTACTGAAATATATTGAACAATCTCTCTGTCTATGTAAAGATGTCAGCTTGGTTGACGTAGATGGTCTTTTTGATGTGATGTTGAATTCACTTTGCATTTTGCATCTGTGTTCATCAGGGAGACTGGTTAGCCATCAGCAATTTTCTTTTTTCTTTTTGCGATGTCTTTATCTGGTTTTGGATTCAGCATACTACTTGCTTCATTAAAATGCTCTAGACTACAGGGGCCATTTCATTAAAATCAGGAATAAGGTGAGAATGCCCACTTTCTTAAATATTTATCTTTTTTAAAAATCCTCAAACCGTGGGCCGAGTATTGGTGTCGCTGGCCTTTAATCCCAGCACGCGGGAGGCAGAGGCAGGCAGAACTCTGTGAGTTTGAGACCAGCCTGGTCCACAGAGCGAGTTCTAGGACAGCCTCCAAAACAATACAGAGAAACCCTGTCTCGAAAAAGCAAAAACAAAACAATCCTCAATCCATTTATTCACAGCAAAGTCTGGGTACCTGTGAACAATGTGAGGGGCAGGTAGGGAGTCGTGTGCGAACCAGCAAAGGACTCCTTGCAGGGGTGCTGCCACCCTGGTAATGCTGTGAGGTCAGGCCATCACTGGCCAGCAGAGCATAAAAAATACATGTGGGCATGTGTGGGCAACAGGGACATCATAGGACAGCCACCTCGGAGAGCCATTGGGGACATGGAGACACAGGGATAGAGAGAATGCTGGGCACGGGAACAGGACACAGGACACGTGAAGCTACAGAGGCACACAGTCACAAAGGAGGCAGTGGGTAAGAGACGACATGGTGAGGTGACAAAGAAGTAGGGTTAAAGCCCGCCGTTGGTGGCGCACACCTTTAACCCCAGCACTCGGGAGGCAGAGGCAGGCGGATCTCTGTGAGGTTGAGGCCAGCCTGGTCTACAGAGCAAGTTCCAGGGTAGCATCCAAAACAATACAGAAAAACCCTGTCTCGAAAAACAAAAAAGAAAGTAAGAAAGGAAGAAAGGAAGGAAGGAAAGAAGGAAGGAAGGAAGAAAGAAAGAACGAATGAAAGAAAGAACGAAAGAAAGAAAACAAAGAAGTAGGGTTGAACTTCTGTGCTGTTCTGCACACTACCCAGCAGACTTCCCCATCAGCCACTCAGGTCCCGGTATTTGCAGTCAAGACACACTGAGGTAAGGGGAAGCAGTGGAGACAGTGGGTCATTTTCCCTCAGGGTCAAGCATGGGACCCGGAGGAGAGCATCTGCAGGTCTAACGCTGGGCTGTTCCTTTAGGGTCCTTGTCATAGCTACAGCTGCCCCCAGTATTGGCATTTACTCCCTTGTGTCCAAAGAGAATTCCATACCAAGGCTATGCTGAGCATGACGGCCAGGGGTCAGTGTCTTGGAGCGACACTCCCAGCACAGGAAGAGCTGGCTGCAGCAGGTCACCTTCTCAGCAAAGCACACCCTCTTGTTGCATTGCAGACAATTATTGGGTGTCCCAGTGAATGTGATGACACTAGAGGCTTTGCTGGGACCGTTGGGGGTCCGCTGGTCTTCTATTCTTTGGTTCGCACCACAGGGACCTCAATGGGGCCAATGTTACCTGAGGCCTGAGGCTCTCAGTCAGAGGCTTCTCTTAGACATAGGAACCAGAGTGCCCCATATTCATGCCTTTGGGTCCAAACAGTGTGGCATACACAGCAGGGTTTGTGGTAGAAAGGTTACCCATCATGCTCAGCATGGCCCCGGGAGGTCAGCGTCTTGTTGCAGTGCTCACACTTGAGACAGAACTTGTGCCAGTCCTTGCCTAGGGAGCTCACCTTCTCAGAAAATTACAAGGTCTTGTCACAGCTGGCACACTTGGAGGCCATGGTTGGCGTGCTCGGTCGGTCCGTGCCCTCCACCCGCGCTGGTCTCTGCTTCAATATATATCGTGAATACACCTTATTCAATATAGTATCTGAAGTATTAGCTAAAGTAATAAGAGAAAGAATAAGAGGGATACAGACACGAAGAGTCAAATTATCCACTTGATATGTATATGATTCTATACATAATAGATTGTATCAGAAAACTTTTAGATTTCACAAGTACTTGCAGGAAAATGGCAGGATACCAAATTATCACACAAAAATCACTAGATGTACAAAAAACAAACGTGTTGAGTGTTAAATCAAGTAAACAACCCCATTTTCAGTGGCCTTAAAAATATTTTAGTGGCTAAACAAATGGTTCAGTTAGTAGGAGCACTTGATAAATAAGAAAAGGACCTAAGGTAGAATCCTCAGAACCTATACTTAAAAAGAAAAGGCAGGCATGGCTATGTGTTCATAAACGTAGCATTGTTAGGGACAGAGACAAGAGGATACTGAAGCTTGCTGGTCACCATCCTAACTGCAGGCTCAATTTGCAACCCAGTCACAAAGGAATGGATGGACAGTGATGGAAGCATAAAAGATTCTACATAGTCAAAGAAATCTGAACATAAAAAAGAATGCTGTAAGCCGGGCATTGGTGGCGCACACCTTTAATCCCAGCACTCGGGAGGCAGAGTCAGGAGGATCTCTGTGAGTTCGAGGCCAGCCTGGTCTACAAAGTGAGTTCCAGGACAGCCTCCAAAGCCACAGAGAAACCCTGTCTCGAAAAACCAAAAAAAAAAAAAAAAAAAAAAAAGAATGCTGTAGATATCATGAAAACTGATTTCAGGTTATACATACAGCAGCAGGAAAAAAGTAGCATGCTCATGGCACAAAAAGAGAAACGCAGATAAATGGAATAGAAGAGAGGACCATGATATAAACCCATGTGAATACAGCCAACTGATTCTAAAGATGTACAAAAGTGCATTGAAGAAAGGTCAGTTTCCTCATTAAATGATGCTGGGAGATCTGGCTATGCATATAAAGAAGAATGAACTAGATCCCTGTCTGTTAGCCTATATAAAAGTCAACTCGTCCTGGATCAGTGTAAATGATATAATACTTTAAATTCTGAAACCGTCGTGAGAAAAAGAGAGAAAACACATCAAGCACAAGCAAGGATTCCTGAGCAGGACTCTACTTGCTCAGAAAATAAGCCTAACAGTAGACAAATGGCACTCATGAAATGAAGAAAGTTCCAAGCTGCAAAGGAAACAACTAAGACAAGAGGAAGCCTGAAGATTGGGAGGAAATCTTTGTTAGCTGCATAGCAGACAGAGGCTTAATACTGAGAATGCACAAAGAGTGAAAAAAACCCTACAGAAATCAAGCAACTCAATGTAATAAATAGATAGATCTCTCAAAGGATATAGCAAAACGTCCAATTAATACAAGAAAAAAATGTTCAACTTCACTGTCTTTGATGGTTAATATTGATTGTCAATTTGGCAGGATATAAAATCACCACAGAAAGGAGCCCCTGGACGAGTGTGTGAGGGATTATCTAGATTAGGTTAATTAAAACCTAACCCCAGGGATTCATCATTCTGTGGCCAGAGTCCTGGTTGCATCAAAAGGAGAAAGGTAGATGAACATCAGCGTTCTCTCTCTGTGTCCTAACTGGGAATCGGTGTGACTAGCTGCCTCACACTCCTGCTGTCCTGTCTTCCTCAACCTAAGTCTTCAATTTGTGAGCCAGAATAAATTCTTCCTCCCTGAAATTCTGCTTCAGATACTTTGTCACAGCAACAAGAAAAGAAATGGACGCATTGGTCATTCAGGAAATTCAAATTCAAATTACCTTGTGATTCCATCTAATTGTAATCATAATGGCAGTCTTTAAGAAAACAGATACAGCCCAATGTAGTGGCACGTGCCTTTAATACTATCTATCACTCAGGGATGCAGAGACTGGCAGATCTCTATGAGTCTGAGGCCAGCCTGGTCTACAGAGTGAGTTCCAGGACAGACAAGGCTACACAGAGAAACCCGGTCTCGAAAAAGCAAAAAGGAAAAACACTTTCATGTGAGGTTCTAGTAGTGCTCGCGTTCCTGCTTCATCTTCACACTTTCCTGCTTGTCCTGTAATGGGAACTGAGAGTACTTCTGAAGACCAAAAAAAAAAAAAAAAAAAAAAAGCCTCTGTAACATATCGATCACTGATGCAATCTGCTTTTTTGCTTTTTTTTTCAAGACAGGGTTCCTGTGTGTGTAGCTCTGATGGGCCTCAAACACATAGAAATCCACCTGCCTCTGCCTCCTAAGTGCTGGGATTAAAGGTGTGTGCCACTGCCACCCATCTGCCATCTGCTTTCTTAAATAGTGTTCTCCAGATGAGTGGATTGAGGGTAGAAATCAAATTTTGATCCTTTCTCATCTCCTTTGTTCCAGAGAGAAGCTCTATTGATTAGCAAGTGTGCATCTTTTAATTCTTTGTTGAAGTCAATCAATCAATCAATCAATCAATCAATCAATGAGTTCTATTCTACCATGTGGGTTCTGGGGATCAAACTCAGGTCATCAGGCTTGGTAGCAGTCACTTTTACTGTCTGAACCATGTCACCAGTCCACGTGCATGTTTTTTAAAGGAGGAAATTGGGTTTCTATTTGCAGCTGAACTTTTGAGTTGCTGATATTGCTCAGATAGGTATGTCTGTACTTATTTAAGGAAAGCATATACATTTTTTGAAGGACAATTGTTCTCTCCTTGGGGATTTACTCAGGTTAATGAAGAGAGTTTTGCTTTAAGGTAGTCCAAATATGTCTCAATATTTAGCCATATCCTCTGTAAAGTCAACTGTCTATATATGTTTATCATTTGTTGACCAGAAAAGAAAACAATCTGGAGTGTATGTAAAATTCTTAGTAGGCTGTAACAGATTAATAAGAGATCTCCAAGTGAGACCTTTCCTTTGCTTTTTTGAATCTCTGCCTTCTCTGAAAGGCACATGATTATTGTGAAATAGTACCAAATTGCTGTTTTGCGGGGGTGGGTTTCGAGACAGGGTTTCTGTGTGGCTTTGGAGGCTGTCCTGGAACTCCCTCTGTAGACCAGGTTGGTCCAAACTCACAGAGATCTACCTACCTCTGCCTCCCTAGTGCTGGGATTAAAGGCATGTGCCACCACCGCCCAGCAAAATTACTGTGTTTTTAAGCCTACCTGCCCCATGCATATTCGATGTTGTCCCTGAAACTGGCTCCCTAAACATTGTCTGTGTAATTCCTTTTATTTGCACACTGCTGTTTTGTGTTTGGCATGTCTTTCTTCCGTTCACTTACTACAAGCTCATATACACATTAACATTACCTATCATACTAAACTTACCTATTACTTGATTACCGAGTCAATAGAAAATGTTCGTATAAGGTCTCAAAGAGCAAAGTACCTGGCCTGGTTATTCTTGGAGACAACCCATGCATTCATTGTGATATTTTTAAGGTTTCAAAGATTTTATTCTGAGGCCAGTTTTTAAAAGCAAAAAATTTGCATATATTTTCAATTATCGATCAAATTTACATACAAGGTTACAACCACTTTTTTAGATGTGGTGGGTGGCTCTGAAAAGAGCCTTTGGGTTTAGGATAGTGCAATAATCAGGAGCCTGTGGAGTCTAAGTTTAAGAGTGCTCTCCGCGAATGCGACGAGCCAGGTGGATGTCTTTCGGCATGATGGTCACCCGCTTGGCGTGGATGGCACACAGGTTGGTGTCTTCGAACAGCGCCACGAGGTAGGCCTCGCAGGCCTCCTGCAGCGCCATCAGCGCAGAGCTCTGGAAGCGCAGGTCAGTCTTGAAACCCTGGGCTATCTCACGCACCAAGTGCTGGAACGGCGCCCTGCGAATCAGCAACTCGGTGGTCTTCTGGTAGCGGCGGATCTCACGAAGCGCCACGGTGCCTGGGCGGTAGCGGCGCTGCTTCTTCTTCACTACGCCAGTAGCCGGTGCAGTCTTGCAAGCCACATTCATAGCTAGCGGCTTCCGTGGAGCCTTGCCTCCCGTCGACTTCCGCGCTGTCTGCTTGGTGCGTACCATCGTGAAGAAGCTCCTTTCTCCTCTGCTCCTCGAGTGTGCTAGGTGCCTTGAGGGCTCGGCTTTTATAGAGCCCACTGCATTCCTATTGGTCGCCCACCTGGTGGCGTGTTTCACTAGTGCACTCTGGGTGGCCCATGTGGTGATCCTCTTTACAGCCTGCCCCTTATATACTCTCCGGGTGGTCTTGCCACCAGGACTGTTAATGGAGGCTGTCTGTGTAGGCGTGGAGCATGGATTGTAGAAAAACTCAAGCCGTTTTTAAATTTTTCTTTCTTTCTTTCTGTCTTTCTTTCTTTCATTTCTTTCTTTCTTTCTTTCTTTCTTTCTTTTTTTCTTACAATCCTGCCTCAACGGTCAAGTCACATAGAACCTTCTAGAACCTCTGGGTGTTTTCCTGAGTTTGTGATATTAGACCTAGAACAGTTTAAGGACTTCCGGAGCAAAGGCTAGTAGGTGGTTCATCAGTTAATTACTGTCTGTTCTTCCAGAGGACCAGTCCTCAACACCCAGCACCCACATGAAGGATTGCTTCCACCTTAATTCACCTCAGGGTCTTTCAGAAACCGTCTTCTGCTGGTACCAGGCATGCAAGTCGTGCAGAGTATGTAGGGGAAAAGGACGAGTCAAAGAAGCACACCCTGAGCAGAGCCAAAGAAACACACTTTGGCCCTGCAACCAGAACCAAGAAATGAACTCCATGACCCTGAAACCTGTGCCAAAGAAACACACTTTGTCCCTGGCAATCAGAGCTAGTGAAAGAAATGCATCCTGAAGCCCTAAAATTGGAGCCAAAAGGCTAAAAAGGACCAGAGAATGAAGCACACTTTGGCCTCTGAAACCAGAGCCAAATCTCACCCTAATCCTGTGCAGAAAACTAGCCAATCCTTGAGCAGGAGCTCTAGCCAATCGGAGCTCAGCACTAAATCTGACCAATCCTCACCCTGGAAGCCCTATATAAACCCTGTGTTTCTGTTCAGCTTGTGGATGTTCTTGCTACCCTGCTGTCCTCTGCTACTCAGGCAGAGGGCAGCCATTCTCCTGGATTCTTTCTTCCAAAAAACCCTTCAATAAGCTTTGGGTGAAATACTTTTGCAGTGGCGACAGAGCAGACGAGACCCTTGGCAGAGTAGAGCAGAGCCAGCAGGGCTGTAACCCTCTTGCTAGGGAATGCTTCTCTTGGCATGAGCTCCAATCTGTCCTCTCAACTCTCCAGGAGCAGAGGTGAAGTGTAACAACTTCTCCTGAGAAACCTCCTGCCGAGCAAAACTGCAACAGTGAGCGAACAACCTCAGCTGGAAGATGCTGTCCTGCCTGAGTGGAGCTGATATGCTGGGGAAGCCTTTCCCTGAGGCAGGGTTGTAAGCAGCTAAACTTACCATGACTTGTGGTAGTCCTTGGCTCTTGAGCACCAGGATACGTTTCCACCTGAGCTGTGTAAC